CAACACACACTACACTTATAAGGTTTCAAGGCACACACCCCTCATGGCCCACTTGCACCTACATCACTAAAATCGTAATGCGTGGACAGTGATCGAACTATTCTAACTGGATAAATGCATTTTGGTTCTGTGACTCGTCCTATTTTGAGAAATCAAGCTTGTCGCAACGTGACACACACGTGGTATAGGTTAGATATATATTTATTACACACGCCAAAGCAACTGTTAGAATTTTTAGTCTAAGGTTTTAAGTAGCAAAATCTTAAGATCATTTAAAATTTTAATGCAATTGTAAATACACGGTTTATTTAGTTTAGAATGAAACTTTTATAAAACAATGTAGTATTGTATTCGATTCTTAAATTATAATGTTATTTTGAAATTTGTTCCAAATAGGTGGAAGATTAGGATATGGATCTCACGATAAGTGTATTAATTGATAGATAACATTTAATTTGTTAAACAGTGGCAAAAAGGATAAATTCGAATTCTAGTCATTCCACTCATGTATTCTTTGTTTGTTCACATGCACGACACCATAGCACAAAATAAGCTAAACGGCTAGATCAGAGATAATATATTGTTTAGGTGCAGCTTTCCCTAATTTTGAGCACCAGATCGGAGGAAAGGCAACCAATGGCTTCAATGGCTACTTTTTATCCAATAGTGGGGTTGACACAACCACAGTTGAATGTATGAAGCGTGTGTGACCTCACCACGTTTCGAACCCGAGACTCTCAACTCAAATATCTATATAATATCTAAAAAAGTTTTTGTTTTTAAGACGAAATAAATTTGATTGCATTACAGGATGAGTGTTTAATTATTTTTTTAAATATTTCTAAAACGCTTTGGGCCAGGCGTGGCCTAGTGGTTACCATTGCGGGCTGTGAATCTGACAATCTATGGTTTGCATCCTGTTTCTGCAAAATAAATTGAACTCTGTACTTTAGGGCCGTGGGTGCATTATAAGGGCGATGGTCAAATTCCAATATTCGATTAGAGTAGTCCAAGAGCTGACGATGGGCACTGTAGACTAACTATCTTCCCCTCTAGTCTATAAGTTTAAAATTAAGCCCTTGTGTAGCTTTCCGAATATCCGCAACAAACAAACAAATGGACACACTTTTGATGTATCATGTTTAAAATAACAACGGTTAACTGAGAAAATCACATTAACGAGATAAAAAAGAAAAGAATAAAAAATTAAACTTCAAATCGGGATTCTAGACGACTAAGGTACTAGTTGCAGTCTATAGAATTATGATTTTGGATTTAGTTGGCTGGAAGTTAACACTTAAAATATTAAGGTCAGTAATTTGGAATCAAAACTGCAAGTCTTTTCTTAGTTAAAATATGATTTCGTGATATTTTAGTTTATTTATTGAAGTAAATTATATTTAAGACTCTGTCAAATTTATCTTTTCGTAAAATTAGAAGAGCATTATTAACTCGGAGTAATGCTAAAAATTCAAAGTTAGTTCTATTAGTTAACTGCTTGAAAATAAATATTTTTGAATGTGAAACTCGTTTGTTAATTTAATTTTAATTAATCCATTAAGTCTATCGTTTTTCTTATAATGTGACTGTTTCTTAAATTATATATGAAAATAATGATTTTAACTAAACAAAATACTGCTTTTTAGAAGATTTATAAAGTATTCCCACTGAAAAATAAAGTTTATCCAGAAAATAGCACCAGTGTTTAACACAAACTTTAATTATCCACAGAACTGGACAGAGCGTTTGATTACATGAACACTAAGTTGACTGGTTTTGCCTCCGGAAAGTAAACCTACAACTGACAAATCCTTCATCACAAAGCTATCAAATAAACCAGGAAATGAGAATCTGTTGTAATCAGCCAGCATCTTAGAAAAAAAATATATTTATGTTGTTTTAAGAAATCTCTGCAGGCTGTTATTATTCGTGATTACAAGTTATACGAAAGGTTTTATTTTTACTTCAATTGTGTTCTTATTTTTTTCTCTTGCGAAATTAGTTAACACGAAGTGTGTAAATAACATGTTTTTTAAAGTAGTACAACAAAACAGTAAACAAATTATGTAGGGTAATAAATGATTAGCACGCTAAGATTTAAATAAATATTATCTGTAGTGGTATTAACTTTTCGGATCACGTGTAGTTTTGCACTTAACAAGAAGCAAACAAACTAAAAAGCTTGTTTGTTTTGAATTTCGAGCAAAGCTACACGAGGGCTATCTGCGCTAGCCGTCCATAATTTAGCAGTGTAAGACTAGAGGGAAGGCAGCTAGTCATCACCACCCACCGCCAACTCTTGGGCTACTCTTTTACCAACGAATAGTGGGATTGACCGTCACTTGTTGTGTTACAAACCCTAGAAACATTAAAACTAGCACTCCTTACATTTAGTATATTTAGTCGTAATATGCAAAAGTGGTTGTTTTTATACGTAGAATTGCAGTTTCCTAAGTTTGACCAACATGAAATAAGTGTATAGATACAGTGCTTTTTTGTATTATTATTCAGAAAAAAAACTCTAACATAGACCAAAACTGATGTACACTGTCTCACAAATTCATAACAAAAATATGTTTCAGGATTTTTCTTCACGTTCAACCGCCGATAGCCTAGAGGAAAGCTTGAGAGCTTATAAAGCTAAAACTTGGAGTTCTGTCCCTGCTATGATCACAGACAGCCCATTTTGAACTTTTGTGATTCACAACAAACTATTGTCGCTTGTTATTTTAGCAAAACTTTTTTTCCTAGAAATTACTATAAACTGCTTGTTACATCACAAGGTGTTGTTTTTTGTTTGTTTTTTTGTTGTTGTTGTTGTTTATTTTTAGTGACAATAAAGTAAACCTAAAGGGTAATTGGATGACGTAAAACGAAGTATTGGATTAAAATTGTGAAGCCTTGGTTTGTTATTATTATAACAATGCACGTTCAAATGTATTACTATCTGACAACCTAACGTACTTTAAAATTGCAAAATACCATCACATCACAAATAATAAAGTTTACGATGCAAAACAAAATAATATAT